ATAAAGTCACCTGCCAAACCCGAGGAACCCAAAACTCCTATACAGATAACTCCTCCTGCTGTACCTCCAGCCTCAAAACCTTCCCCTGCTCCTACACCTGCCACCCCCACCCCTGCTGCGGAAACACCAAAACCAAGTGCACCCCCTGCTACAGACAGCAGCAAAGACTCAGAGGGAGATCTAGAGAAGGAGCTAGAGCTAGATTTGGAAAATGTTAACATTGAGGATTTAGATGAGGGAGTAAGTCAAAGCAGTTGTTTTCACACTTCAATATTTACAAATGTGGTAGGAAAAGAAACACACATTTTAAATTTCTAATTTCATATGTAACCAAAAAATATTTGAAAAATTGGATAATTCTGTTACTAAAGCCAGTCCCAAAATTCTTAATTAGTTTTAATTAGTAATTCAATCAATGTTTGGCATGAAAGTGATATAAATATTGACTATAAGACTCAATGTATCTTTAATTGAAATGGAAACCTTCTGTTTACTGTTTCATGAAAATGAATGCTGTCAGTAATCAACTATTTGTTTGTTTAACGCAATCACTATTAGGCCCATGCCATGCAGTATTTAAGCTAAGAGAGGTAACTCCAAGTCACAGAGTGATGTTACAAAATATATTTCAAAAAACATTAAGCAACTACTAATAATAACTAAAATAGTTCTAAAAAAAAAGATAAATGGATGACCTTTACAACAATATATAATTTCAATAGGTTGTACATGATTAAAACAAGAATAACAACATGTAAAGAATAAAATTTGTGCCTAATTTTTTTTTTATAAGTTGGTGCCCCCCAACAGAGGTGTAGCAAGGAAAACATGCTCTTCCCCTCCCTCCCCCCCCCCCCATTTTCCATGAACAGACATAGAAATATAGGCTTATAGTTATTGCTGGTAGCTTCCAACATTAATCCAAAGACCAGTTTGAACTTAGTAGGGCCTATACACTTGTCATGTTTATATATAAAATGTGTAGATGTCATAAGCATTTAGCATTTACTGACTTCCAATGGGTGTCCTAGAGGCCCGTAGTTGCTTGCTGTGGTTTTGCATATCTATATTATCACAGCTACCATAAATTCTATCATGGGATCATGTATAAAAAGCTCAAAATAAAATGAAAATGATTGTCCTGAACATGATCTTGTCTATTTCGTCCAAAGTGTCCATTGGGTCAACAAAAACTGATCTAAATATCAGTCCAACAAAGTTGTACATTTATTGAGACTAGGTCTAGATCAAGATCCAATGATTTACTTCACTATCTCTCTCAGAATCTATGTCTGTATCTAGTGCTTAATTCTCATGTCTGTGCCAATTTTATCTTCATTATCAGGTGTATTTAGTATATTATTTGCGATGAGGGGTCTAAAAAGGAGAGCTATGCAAGTCACACTGATGCGGGCATGTTTCTGTGCATTAGTAGTGAAGGTTGGGTTGGGCGCATGTGATCGCATTAGTGGTGACCTAAACCACTAAGGAATGACTGCTTTGTGATTAAACCTGTTACCTAATCCTACTAGGAAATTTTTATGTAAATGTAATTTTTCTACCATTTTATTAATTTTTTTGTTGATTTTATGTTTTTTATTTAGTATCACCCCCAACCAAAACAAATACAACAAAGGTTTTTTAACTAACTTTAATTCATACATTTTCTTTTTTCTCCAGGATATGAACTTGGATGAGGATGACTTGTTACAAGAATAAGTTCTAATTTCATAACTTTGTTTATATATATTTTGTTGGCATTTTTTTTTTCTTTTCACTGTCATAGATCAGCCATTGAAACATTTTATTGTAGGTGATAGCATCTTGAGCTGTACCCTTTGCATGAGGACCTAACAAATGTTAAAAGTATTTATAATTGATCATTGGTTCTGAATGTTTTCATTCATAAAGTGGACATTGTCTGGACAAGATGTGATACAATTTTTAACAAGTGGTTATTTGTTTGTTTTTGTTTTTAATGATCATGTCTGTGTCATTAGCAATGTGATGAATTGTTCATTTCTCCAGTGAAAGTTTCCACACAGATGGAATAGGTTCAGATGGATCCAAATGTTTTCACACTGTTACTTAGTCAATAGGTTTTTAAAAGGAAAGGGTAGGTAACTGCTTGGACGATTTATTTTCTGTTTCTACTTGTAATTACATTGTATTAAAAAAAAAGTTGGGAGCCTTCTTGTGAAGCATTGACTAGACTACACAATCATTTGGACATGATTATGGGATAATGTACATTAAACATTCTGTATCAAGCCAGTTGTTTTGTTTTGGTGCTATTTTGTACAACTCTGTCTGGTAAAAGTTTGTTCTCTTTTCCCAATATCTTATCACGCTGAAATTTTGAAAAAAATATTGTTTTACCTCTGAAAATTAAATCAATTTAAAAAAATTAATGAACTATTGGTAATCAATTATTTTGTTGGGTTTCTTCAACACAGAACAAAGAAAAGAAATTGTACTTGACTGAAGTGGTGGTATAAGCTGAATTACTCCCCTTGATAAGTTGTCACTTTAAATTAAGGTTGTAACAAACAATAGACAACTAAACAATCTTCTCTTGTCATAAGCACTTCACTAGTAGAGTGGTAGTTCGAATTCAAGTTGTCCCCCCCCCCCCCCCTTTTTTTTTTGTTTAAATGAAAGTTTTAAAATGTGATTAAGGTAAAAATTCAGCCAGATCGCAGCCCTTTCTTTCTCTTCCAACTGGTCCAGACAAGTGATAGGATCAAAGCAGCTATAAGCATGAAATAGTGCTACAAAAGCAATTGGTAAAAATATTTCTTATCCAGATTTATTGTTGGTCTAGAAAAGATCTATCACAAATTTAATTACATGACTGATCCAAACTAATTGATACAATTAAACTTCGTATAAGCTTTGTTTTTTTTAAAAGTATTTTTTATGTTTTTCTTTCTATATATCTCAAGTGTGTTCAGTATAACTGGCCCATTTTTTTTTAGATATAAAGAGATACATAGACTTTGTCACTCGTAAAAAAAAAACAAAAAAAAAATTGAAAGGTTACATTTATCCTAAATTTTTTTTGAAACACTTACTTTACAAAAATTGTTTTCAGAAAAATTCAAAAGTAACTTCAAAAATATGTGCAAATATTTTTCCAGTGAAAGTATTATTTTTCATAATATCTAAAACGTTATAAATAGTAGTGATGATCTACCATAGTAAATATCTAGTAAGTTGCATTATTTGTGAAAATAACACAGCACACTGGGTTAGGGTTCTTCAAAAAAAAAAGGCTGCACAATGTCTTTGCGAAATTAAAATACTAACTCCTGCTTTCAAACTAAGTTCAACATCTCACACTTAAGTAAGATGTGTGTATAGTTCACAAACACTGATAAAACAAACAAACTAAATGCAACATTTTGATATACATTCAATATTTATTGCTGTTACAAGGAATCAGTACATGACTAGAGTGTACTCAAATAGTGAAAGTCATCTTTGAATAAAAACATTTCACAAACAGCAGAGAATGTGTTCTCAACTGGAAAGCCCCATTGGTTGACTACATCCTAATGAGTAAGCAGGTGTTTGCCTAGTTTAAAACTATGTAAATTTTATTTTCATATTACTTTACAAACAATGGATACTATATACTTTTAAGTTACATTCATTACATAACGGAGAGATGCTCTCATGGGAGTTTCTTATAAAACTAAAAAAAAAAACAAAATAATTTTGTACTGGTCTAAAGAACAATTTGTGATCTGAGACATTAGACACTGCCAGGAATGTTTCATGATAAATACCTATATACATATATAAATATCCACACTTCTCTTTCATACACATTGATTTCTCTCAGAACATAGGCACTTATTGTAATCATAGATAGTACATACAACAATTCATTAGTTTCTACAAAACCAATTGGCTTGATCCTCTGTGTCCATGATGCAACACTGAAAAAGACATCTTTTCACGTTGAAATACAAAATTTGGTCTTGTAAGTGTGGTTCAAACCAAGTCTTAAAAATGTTCAAACACTGATCAGGCCAAGACTTCACAAACACTTAATAGATAGAAGGCCTTATGGCACAGCTTACATAGAAAGTAAGCATCACCACTTGAGATTGAGAATTGTTCACCTAAGCAATAACATCAGCTACGTAAGGGACAAGTGCTAAGACTCTAAAAGATCCATTCTACTCAACCAAGTTTTAGATGCATTGATGACCTTGCTGTATACGCTATATACAAGCAGTATACTTCAAACAATTGGACAATAATTCGAAACCCTGATGTTATCCTTTAGACAGTTATAAGTCTATTGCGGATGTAGAAAACCTAAAAAAAAATGGCTTGATAATGTGATAACAATGGTAAAATTAATACTTGTATTCCAATAAAAGTATATCATGTTCAATGTACAGAAATATTAACATGCAACTTTTTTGTCTTATTAACACAGGAAGACTACATTGAATTGAATTATTGTACAACAAACTTTTTTTTTTGGTTTTGCAAAACAAGTTCACAGTTTAAATATCAGCTTAACACTTCCATTGAAAAATTATTTTAAAACAGATTGGTAAGATACAAGACAAACTTAATTCACAAAATGAATAATTCAAATATTTGACAGTTTCCTCACTTGTGACAAAGAATTAGAAGTAACCTGAGTAAAGATAGTTGTTGTACACAAGAAAAACTTCACTTAAAATATTGTAATGAAACAAGGAAAATGTACCAATTTGTCAAAAAGTTTACCAACAGATCTAATCTCAGTTTACATTCAAATTTATTTGAAATTTAAAGAGTACTTGTCTTGACATTTTAAGGACATAAAAACATACAAAATACCACAATTTTTTATCACCAGGTATTGAAACCTTAGGAAAAAAAAAGCTTGATAACTTTATTTACCTTGTACTTTGGTGTGAGAAAAACAATTGTAGAATTCATGAGTCTGAATGGTCTGCCAGACATAGTCAACAAAGGTTTTACCATATACCAAACTGGGTACTAGCAAACCATGTCATTGGGTGAATCCAACCCAAAAGGTTAATTTGAACTAAGACTGTGGACTTGAGCATTATGATAGAAGACAACGTCTCCCCAGGAAGTGAAAGGAGATCCTTTCAACAATACTTTAGAATATCAAGGCAAGTCAGTGCAGGAAGAAAATCATGAGGAAATACTGGCTTATGTATGGACAACATTCTATGAGTATGTACAGTAACAAGTCAATACATAAACAGTGGTCAACTCTTGGGCCATCCTCATATACACACACAAGTTTTGAGATGAAAAACTCTAGAACCGCTACAACTTCATCAAGTCATAGTATTCTGTTGCTGTGACCTTTAAAAAAAAAGAAACTTTTTTTTTAGTTAAATACTGTATTGAGTGCAGTGAGTTCAAAAGACTTGAAATACTGTAAGAAATGAAATGTGACAATGAGTAGAGTTTGAAAGGCTACCAACACACTTGCTTCCTTTAAAAACAAACAGTAACCAACATGTCATAGGATATTAAGATCTACGATGAAAAACAAAAAATGACAAAAAGCAAAACAAAGAGGAAAAAAAAAAGACCAGCAAATCAAAGAAATTTCTCATAAAACCTTACAGAAAGAAAAAAAAACATTTTGTAGAATCAAATAAATCCAAACAACTAGCACTCAATACAAAGTTAGGTAAACTTGAATCTCATGATGTAAAACTATTTACTTTTAGTGCCATAAAAACATGCTAGAGAAAAGAGATTTAAAGACAAAATAGAAAAGAAAAATAAAAAGAATATACACATTGTTCTCTTAAACCATACCAAAATCTTTAGTATAAGAGTTTGAATCAGATTTAAAAGTTACATTTGTTGTAAAGTAACTCATAAGATCAATCATTCATCGCATTTCTAAGATGAGAGAATTAATCAAAAGAGACACTTTGTCCTCTCACTCTATCATATCAACATATAACACATACCTACACAACATACAAGACTGTGCTCTCATTTCTTAAGATCAACATACAAGATTGTCCTCTCATTCCTTAAGATCAACATACAAGACTGTCCTCTCATTCTATCAGATTAACATGTGACACATGGCTAAAAAATAAATACATGCTATAAACTATTCACCAGTATATTTTTGTTTCCTATGTGAAGAGGAAATGACTTTTATGCTAGCTGTTCTATACAATAATGTGTTTTAGTAATCCCAGAACATTACTATGTTAAAGATTCTGGTGATCAAAGTTATGAAAGAACGTTATAAGCAAATAAAATATTTATTTCTATAAGAGCAAGTAGCAATTCTAAGAACATATATCTAAAGAGTCTTTAACTTTTAATAATGTATTTTATCCAAATGTTCACAAGGTAGAGTCACAGCTCTTCTCTTTCTATTTACTCTGCAATATGCAAAATATTTGTGATGATAGTAGACAACTCAAAAGTCACTCTTTGACTATCATGTGAAGAAATAATCAATGTAATGGCAAGTGAACTGAATGTCTTTGTCCCCCATTGTACCACAATGCTAAGAAATTTCTAACCTAGGACCCTCAAAGACTAACTGGCTCAAACTATTAAGGCCTTGGGTCTTGGTTATAAAAGAGCTGTATTTTTGTTTTTGTTAGCATCTAGTTTCAGCTACATTTCAAAGGATATGCAATGCCAAGGCAACTAAGTCCAGCATGTGTTATGAAATCGTTTTTTTTACCAACTAGATTTTATACATATCATGAAAGGTTATAATAATTGTAACTTAGAAATACTGAATGTTGTTTTGTAGATACAGACTATCATAGAACAGAATACTTCTTGTAAGAAATAACAAACAACAACAAAAAAAACAACAAGTCAACATAATACAAACACAGGTCCATGAAATATCCTTGTAAACCTAATACAAACACAGATCATAGTACTACACAGGTCCATGAAATATCCTTGTAAACCTAATACAAACAGATCAGTGCAGTGTAAACACACAGGTCAGAGTTGAGCAATGAACACACTCATTTTTTAAATCAAATATAACATTCCAACATGCTTCATTCAAACTTATGAAACTGAATAAATAAATCAATTACACAAGGCTAGCCATCACAACAGTTCTCTGGTAACAATACAAGTGATCTTGTTGTTAATATCAAGAAATGATAAGGTTTATATAAATACATTTATAGAAATATATAGATGTACACCATTTCTTAACTTATGACTAGATTCTTCCTCAAATAAATAGATATCTCTTCTTCAAAATAACTATATCTAGTTTTTATAATATCATAGAAAAAACAAAGTCAAAAAAAAAACATAATAATAATAATTAAACAACTAGTTTCCAATGGTGTAAAGTTGATTAAATATTTATTGGAAAAGTTGGAATGAATGCAGTAAAAAGTCTCTGTAGACTTTTCTTTAGAACAACTGATCTCCATTCCAGCATACAACCATAACTGTACAGGATGGAGTGGAATGACAAATACAAAGCCAATGGGTTGTTTCAGAACATCATATTGACACACTACTTAAAGTATGGCAGATCTAAAGAGACTGCCACATCATGTTAGGAACAACAGAACCTCCGAATGAAACTTTAGGTTTAGATTGAGTTGTAGAGTGATAGGAGGCCAGGCCAGCATGGAACTAAAACAAATGTTTGTTTGTTTACAAATCACTATTACATATAGGCCAGCATGGAACTAAAACAAATGTTAGTTTGTTTACAAATCCCCATTACATAGGATTCGGAAGTTCCCAGAAATCAAAACAAGTCCAGAAAAAACTTAGTAAAACATCCACTCAGCGCAACTAATAAACACAACTTTGTGTCCCCTAGAAGAAATGTTTTCACATTTTCTGCTTTAAACCAATTTTTCACTAACAAGCAAACAAATGAGTACACAAACAGATTTCAATAAAAGAAAATTTTTTTTTTTTTTTTACAAAACATAGTAATAATTAAAATGCTAAATAATTATATATATATAAAAAAAGCAGCTCATAAAATTATCTACTGATGATTAGTTCTAGAGACAGTTTCAACATCTTTGAAAACCCATTAAAACTTTTAAAAAAATTGTATTGGTTTTTTACAAGAATAAAATAAAAGTATATGGTAAAAAAAAACTATTGACAGCTCAAGTCCTTAATAAAGTTTCTTTGCTACTTTAAACAAGAACTTATGTGAAGTGATGAAACAAAAAGAATATTGTTATTTTTTATTTCTGAAAATAACAAATCTTGCAATTAACTCAGTTTAAGTGACATCTTTGTCTGACAAAATGTTTCCATTTTTTTTTTTTTCAATGACCAGAAATACTGACATCAAAAATACAGCTTTGTAAGAAAACTCAGTATTTGAATGTGTTAATACTTGGGTTCAGTAAAAGATCCATTCTCTGGTAAGATATCAAGAGAGTTCAGTATCATCAACATCCATCGCCTCCTTTCCTTGGAGCTTGCGTCTCTTGGTATAATACTCTACACGTTCCTCTAAGCTTTCTGAAATAGAAAGATTTCGACTTTACACTTGGATAATATTGAAATTTGAAATGATGATCCTGAGTTAGAAACCTGCGTACTGCCATCCTTTAACATCCTGCAAGGGGTATGGGCTAGAAAATAATTATCTTCATTTCTGAAGGATTGTCTAAGACATATAAATCAAACAATAAGAGAATAACCAATAACTGGCTGTTGTTATTCTAAAGAAATATATTTCTCTAAACTACGTTTAGCATCTTTATATCCAGTTAAACTATTAGCTGGTATGCATATTCTTTTTATTTATATCTCCCATCGTATGCATATTCTTTTTATTTATATCTCCCATTGTATGCATATTCTTTTTATTTATAGCTCCCATCAGGTCTGCCGCTCTAGATGGAGATAGCTGTTAAGTCACTGTTCCCTATTAGTTCTGATTACTGTTTCATCTCTGAATGTTTTGATCAGTGATATACTTCTATAGACTCTGTACCTCTTCTAACTCTCTGGGGTTTGAGGATCTTTATATTTATATATTTTTTTGGTTTGAACAATTATTTTGACATATTGATAACTTTTTTATGGTAGCTCCTTTGTTGAAATGCCAAAATTTAAATTTGGGCACATTTTTAATAACTGCTTTAGACTTGAAAAACAAATAATTCTATGATATATTGACAACTTGGGTATTAACAGTATGATGTTAAATTATTATTAATCCTGGATTCATATTAGATTACACAAGATAAGAAAACTTTGCACTAAAGATGTGATATTTAAACAAATATGTTAATGAACATTCTTGTGATTTTTATAACAGAATTATTTTTTCTTTTAACTATTGATTTTAATCATCAATAATGGTAAGAACATGAAAAATTTCTCCTAACAGAATGGAAATAAAAACCCAGAAATAGAATTAGACTGACCTGACAGAATAACTTACCACACATTTGTCTTTTCATCAATGGTTTGTAAGTCTTGGGTTTATTGCCTGGAATCATCCATTCAGCCTGCTGGAGTACTGGCCCACTCAGTTCATTCCATGGAGCTATGTCAGATGCTGAGGAGTGACACAAACAATTAGTCATCTTTTCATTTTGTTTAGCATCAGAACTATTGCAAACAAAGAGTGTTTAAGAGGAGGGGAAGCTTTCCATTTCTAAAGACTAGACTTTTGTTCATCTAGCTGGCCTTACCAGTCTCTACTTTAGCCACATCTAGCTCTTCCAACATTCTCTGGATCATTGTGGCCCTGGAGGACACAAAAGATTTTTACAATGAGCTTAAGTCATTCCTAGTGTAACATTTGTAGTATAAATAGATCAATGGCAGTAGAGTTACACATCTACTTAGAGTAATGCTATCAGGAAGAAATACATCACTTCACAAGTGTATAACCTAAGAATAAACCGGTTAGATATAAACCAATCTGCTAACATCATTAAATACCCAGCAAGGAACAAGTCAACTGGAAGGCAAAAAAACAAAACAAAAACCAACAACAGATTTCTTAATAAAACAACATAATTTTATTTTTAAAAAGCACTTATGCTTCATTAAATGCAATGAACAAGTGCTATATCTCACCAGTAAGTAATGATTACTATAGCAACTACTGCAATGAACCATTCATTATTTTGTTATAGACAATATACAAGGTTTATCTATAAGTGGCAGAGTGGTAAAAGGTTTGGCTTCCAAATTTAGGTGTCTTGGGTTCAAATCTCAGTGATTTTGAATGTAATTGGTACCTGACATTAGTTGGGGAAAGTATAACCAGTTAGACTTGGTACTAGCCACATTACACACCCTCAGCCATAGAAACATGACCATTACATCATCTGCCCAATAGATCACAAGGTCTGAAAGGGGAACTTTACTTTTTTAATTTAAACTTAACAGCTGATGTTTTATGTCTTTAAAAACTTTAAGAATCTTAACATGTGATATGAAATTCTTTAGCACACAGTATTTGCTTTTGTTTGGACATTTGAATTTGGTTAGAACATTCTGAACTATTTTCAAATCTTTTTAACTATGAATTCATGATGAGTTTTTGTACTTGTACTTTTGTACTACTTCTGTACCTTCTCAGCATTTTGTGAATAAAAAAAGGTGACTTAGTTTGAAGAATAGAAGGTTGATGTAACACTAGCAAACATAAAAGTCTTTTCAGATCAAAAGTTGAAAAAAAAAATTCAGTCTAATTCTTAAAGTTTCAGTTACTACTGGCTACCTACCTAATAGTGTGCTGAGCCCAAATTTGTTGCAAATGTCTAATATTCTCTTCATGCCAGTCTGATGAGAAATTTCATTTTTAAAAATCTGGGATTATATTTTAACATTTTAAATAAAGTGTCACTTTTGTTTAAGTAGTGTTTAAAAAATAAATTTAAAAAGCCAAAACTCGTCTACCTGCTTCATAGATCCATTCCAAATTATCGTCAAAGTCACAATCAAACAAAACTAATGGTAGTTCTGAAACAACGGAGCATACATTTTAAAAACATCAATGCCAAATGTGAAATACACAAAAATGTTCCAATAACAAACAAAAATGTAGTAAAACAACTAGAGAGTTCTTATACTATCAATAATTACAAAAACAAAATGCTCCACTTCTCCTTTTGTTTGTAAAACCTACAAGTATCTCTTGTATGTTCAAAATATCAAAGTGACAAACTATGGATTCTGTAAACAAGAACTCACCAGAGGCCATGGTGTACTGAGGTTTTCTGGGATTCTTCTCAACATCTAACAATTCCTCTATTACCTGGCATTGTACAATCAAAAATTTGAACTTGAGAACACGACTAGTAAAAAGAATGAAGCTAAGAGCATTCAGTGATAGACTAGCCTACCTAGAAAAAGTCCTAATGTGTACTACTGATGGTCAAAATGTGTATTTTGGCACCAGAATATTTGTGTGATCAACTATTTTTTAAAATTTAATAATATCATTAAAATGAACACCAAAGACAGAGAGAATAAAATCTGTGATTTTTTTATTTATTTTGTGTCAACTTTTTTTTAATAAGCTTGAAAATGATTTCAAATGAACTTTTCAAAAAAAAGGGCAGATACTGGGTGTATAGTACCAATAAGTCTATCAACGTGAAATGTGTTTCATGCTTAACTCCAACACTACCAAAAAAAAAATACTTTGCTTATTAAAAGAACACAAAATCAATGTTCTGACCTAGTAAAAAGGACATTCTATAACTAGTTCTTTCCAGTGGAAGGCAATTGCTAATTTATAATCACTTTATCCTACTTATGTTAAAAGTATTTTAAATAACCCACCGTTACATCTTCCTTGCCCTGACCAATGAGAAAGAGCACAGAGACTATACATCTAATCTGGTGCCACAAAAAAGCTTGACCAACCACAGTCAGCTCACACATTGAGTAACCTTGACTGCTGTAAAAGTTCAAGGTTGAAAGTTAATAACAATCACCTGGACAAAAATACAATATG